AAAAAAAAAAAAGATACACTACTATATATAAAATAGATAACCAACATGGACCTACTGTATAGCACAGGGTACTATATTCAATATCCTGTAATAAGTTATAATGGAAAAGAATCTGAAAAAGAATATGTATATATATGTCTGAATCACTGGCTATACACCTGAAACTAACACATTATAAATCAACTATATTTCAATAAAAAATTCAATAAAATATGACTAGCTTGATACATCCAAAAATTTTTTAAATTAAAATGAAGTTTTAAACTACATCACATTTTATATTAAGTTAAACTAAAATTAATTATAAGTTATGCGGGTGAATTTCATACCAACTTGCACAGCTATATTTTAAAACATAAATAACACTAAAATGTATAGTTGTTCACTGAGCATCAATTTTCGAGGACAAAATTCATACTAAATATCAAAATTACTCCACATTTGATTGAATAGAAAGGTAACCGTTTTATTAAAAGTTAACTTTTATTTGAAAGTCACCATTTTGATTACATGGCTGCACACTATACCTACCTTGATGAATACATACAAATTTCAAAAGTTATGCATTGATTCTGCAGACACTCTTTAGGGTGACATTGCGTGTTTGCCTCGATCTGCGTGCTATCCAAATTCTCATTCTTGACCTAGAGATTTAATTTGAAACAGTTTGAATAAATGTTAACCATGATTTTTTTAAAATTCCTAATAAGAAGAAATCTTTGTTTGAAGAATTTCTTGATAAACTTTGGGATGGAGATGAGAATGGTAAAGGAAAAGATGACGTAAAGATGAAGTCCAAACAGTCACTAAGTTGCCTTCTAGGAAGGCGGGTCGGGGTGACTGGCAGTACCTCTGTTCCACTGGGCTCTGGAATGAACGAGAAAGTCGGTGTGGGAGCAGCCCAGCGTTGCTCTCAGGGTGGGGAATATGGAGATGGATGTGTGCCATGTTGGGGTGGGTATAAGATAGACTTGTAGAGATCCTGGCCCAGGGGTTCCAAGACAGGGAAGGGAGATGCTACATAGGATGGTGTAGGGTATTCAATGTAAACTCTGGCCTTTATTGCCCCTGACACACAAAACCTCAAGAAATTTGACAATTCTTACCAATATGGACACACAAGTGGATGCTGTTTGTTTACTTTGTGTGTGTGTGTGTGTGTGTGTGAGATAGAGAAAAAGAGGATAAGGGACAACTAATTTGTATGTCACATATAGAGGTATCATTATTTAACTAATCGCTAGTTTTGTACATTTGGGTTTTCATTTTTACACTATAATATACAATGTTGTTCTAAACATGCTTAGACTTAAATCTTTGCATATTTCATTGATTACCTCTCTAGGATAAATTCCTAGAAGTGTAATTGCTGGGTCCAAGGATATACATATTTTATTTTATGTACTTTTTAAAATTTTGCATCTGACAGTGATCTTTAAGGAATCTAATTTATTAGATAATTTTTTTCACTTGTCTAACCACTTGATAAAAGAAATGTTCGCATATTGAGGTTTGAGGAAATCATTCTGGCTTATACATGAGTTAACTTGAATTTTATGCTGACTAAACCTGTTTATGGCCTTTCAAACATACATTGTACATCTGCTTTAATTATTAAAGAAAGGGGCACACTGAGCAGAAGTAAAGAATGTCCACGTTAAAAATAAAGATTAAATGCCCCTCTTGCTGGGACACCAGTACTGGTCCTCCTTTGATGAGAAGATACCCTTCCCAGGTGCCAAGGCCCTACTGTATGTGCTGTACACGTACATGCTGGTCTGTTTTTCTTGAAACCTTAAAATAAATTATCCCTGACTTGTTTAATGTTCTTTGTTCTGACAAGATATAAAACTGTACTGAGGGACTGCCCTGGTGGCACAGTGGATAAGACTCCGCACTCCCAGTGCAGGGGGCCCAGGTTCGATCCCTGGTCAGGGAACTAGATCCCACATGCCTGCTGCAACTAAGAGTTTGCATGCCAAAACTAAGGAGCCTACATGCTGCAACTAAGGAGCCAGCGAGCTACAACTTAGGAGCCTGCGAGCTGCAACTAAGGAGCCTGCCTGCCACAACTAAGACCCGGTGCAACCAAATAAATAAATAAAATATTTTTTTAAAAAACCCAAAACTGTGCTGAAAACCCTGCTTCTCCAGAGCAGTTTCTCAGAGTCATCTCGGAAGCAGGCTTCAGGGCTAGTCCTCAGTTTGGCTCCAATAAAACTCTTTTCTAATCTTATTATGGATTGTTTATTGATTATTTCCATTGACACACTCATTACAGAGGCAGTAACCATTCAGACTTTCTGACAGGTTGTATATTCCTGTTTGTATGTGTATGTGTGTGTGTGTTTGGTGCGTTTATGTTTTTTGTGTGTATATAAGGGGGTATATATGCTTTATGTGTGTATGTTTTCTTGGAGTGTTATGGGTTTTTTTACA